AAGAGTTGAAAAGTCATGTCCATACAAAAACCTATACATGGATGTTTAAAGCAACTTTATTCATAATTGCCAAAACTTAGAAGCAGTCAGTATGTCAGTGGGTGAATAAATAGTGTTACAACTATCTACAAATATTGATCAGTGCTAAAAAGAAATAATCTAGTGAGGAAGAGTCTTAAACAGCTGCTGTTAAAGGGGGAAAATGTGAATAAAGAGGTAATATTGAAATTATACATGGTTCATGACTTTAACTACATGACATTCTGGAAAAGGCAAAACTATGAACATGGTAAAAAGATCAGTGGTTGTCAAGTATTTGGGGTGAGAGGAAGGATAAGAAGGTGGAGTACAAGAATTTTAGGATAAAAATATTGTTAGGATATGGATTGTTAGGAATAATGGATACATGTCTTAACACGTTTGTCCAAACCCATAAAATGTTCAACAGTGAACTGTAATATAAGTCCTGGATCTCAGTGGTAATGATGTATCAATGTATGACTCCTTAGCAGATTTTGAGAATGGGGAAAGTTATGCATGCATAGAGGACAGTGGGTATGTGGGGAAGTCACTTTTTCTCCCCCTCAGTTTTTCTGTGAACCTTAAACTGCTCTAAATAAAGGGGGTTTAGTAAAAGCAATGTAAGAAAGATAAACAACAAAACAACAATAAACTTATAAATTATCTGTTGTAAGATATGACAAAGAAATTTATTTATAGGTTTAATATATAATAAACTTTGGGTAGGGTGATGTCACAATTCAGAAGACTTCATACATGTTTTGAAATTATTTCTCTACCTAAAGCATATTTTGGAAGAAAACATGCCATAAAGGCAGAGTTAGCATTTGGGGGAAAGCCCCTGTTAGCAGTTCCCGTAATTTGATGGTCTCTTGTGCACAGGAAGAGGTGCTGCAACTGAAAAATTAATATGAGCAAAAGTGTGGACATGTGTGTATGTGAAACAATGGGGATTGGGAGGTCAGAGAGAAACATGGATGACAGGGCAGGGGCTTGATGCAGGGCAGGGGTGAGTTAGTGGAAGGAACTCAATGACTTTTCCACCTTTGGAATAATTCCTACCAGTATCTCAGTAAAATTAAAAGTTCAACATGTTTTATCTATTGACATTTCTCTACTTTTCTTAGAACTTGCCAAATTTCATTATCAGTGAGCCCATCTGTACATACGCCATAGTTTCATCTTTTAAAAAAAATCTTCATTTAAGTCTTACTATGTTCTAGACAACGTGCTAGACAGTTTACATGCAAGGCATGTTAAATTTCATGAACATTTTACCAGGGCAATTATTATTAAAGTAATTTAAAAGTTGAGAAAATGGAGACTAAAACTGCTGTCTGACTCAAACTTCATTTTACTTTAATAATTAGTTATTATAATGACATTTCTCTGAGCACATTCCTTGGAGGGTAAAGAAGAACAAAGTGCACTATATCTTCCTCTTATAAAGACTCAAATAATACATTTAGAATGGTAAAGACCTTGTGAAATTCTGAAACAAAGAAATCCATTTCATTTTATTTACCTGAATATTTCACAAACTTTAGTTGACTGTCAGAATCTTCCTCCTCCTCTTCTACTTTTGTAAAACAATGAACACCCAGGACACATTTTGAAACTGTGTTAAACTGTAGTGGGAGAATCTTATTAATCAGAGCTCAAGGTATTTCAAATTCAAGAAGTGTATGCCTTATTATATGTCCTCAATTAACAGTTGTCAGAGTGAGGGTCAAAATTCATTGAATTGTGAAATCAAAGAAATAGAATCCTGACCAGTATTGGGGGAGGTTAAAAAACAAAAACAAAAACAAAAAAAAACAGAAAACCAATACAAATGTATTAGAAAATACCTCATTGTTGCATATAGTAAGTACTAGAATATGAGCTTTTTTTCTGGATTACAATGTAGTATACTTTTCTTAAGCCACTACTTTCATGAAAGTCACAAAATTGCTTATTGTACTATTATAGGGCAGGGAGAGAGGGGCAACCCTGAATCCCCAAAACTGCCTGCTCTAAAATAGGTTCTGCCATCTGCCACATCAAGACAAAACATAAGAAAGGAAACTTTAATACAATTAGTGTGCAATATAGAAAAGACAAAGAATATAGTTTCTAAATCAAACACCTAAAGTTACCCGTCCCCTCGGTCCCCTTGTGGGTAAAAGTCCACCCAAAAGGGATTGGCCCAAAGCAAGGCCTGAAAGCCCAACACAAGTCTAAAGCACTTTTTGGCGGGGACCCATAGAAAAGGGTCAGAAGTGGCCACACAAATCTTGGAGGAAAAGAGCAAATCAAAATCAAGATAAATGCTGCATAGTGAAACTTCCCCTAGGCCTCTCACCCACATCTATTTCAATCAGTCCAGGACCAAGAAGAAAAAGGCACAGTTTCTTCACATGTCTCTCTGCTCCATGTGGCTCCCTCAGGTCACCTTCTGGCTCTCCATCCTGCGTCCTTCAGACTCCTCTCCAGATTCCTCTCTTCTCTGCTCATCTCCATCCTCCTTTTGGGTGGGGCAGGGAACCTCAAACCTCCCTTTTTCCTGGGGGCCATCCTGTTATAGTACCAAGGATTAAGAATAAAAAAGTCTAAGGTGGGGGTGGGAGGGAAGTGCACGGGACTGTGGTGATGGCACAAGGGTGACTCCTTGATGGGAAACCCACGGGGATTACAATTGAGATAAAAAAAAGTAGTACAAAATGATGTAAAAATAAACTATCATTATAAACAAAAACAAAAAACTGAAATACACCTGTAGATCTGATGACAAAAAAAATATATAAAAGTCTCAACTTTGCAAAATTAATGTTCCAAAAAAAAAAAAAAACCCTCCAGTAAGACTATGATTAAACAGGCTATTTGTAATAACTTAAAATCAGAGAAGTTTAGAGCTGATATAGCTCAGGGGGAAAACCAAAATAGAGTGGAGCTACTAGTCAAGGTCAGGCAGCTGTTAGCTAGAACTAAGACTCAGGTGTTTTAATTTAGAATCTCTTACTTGTCACCATAAAACAAAATAAGTTTTAGTTATAGGATGTAAAAATTACCTCTTTTTTACAAATAGAAAAACTAGGCAAAACATTTAGCAAATCACTGTTGTACAGTAAGCTAAACAATAGGTTACAAAAATGCTGAAGGCTTCAACTGAAAGAAAAAAAGTAATTTACAGATTCTTCATCTCTGGGTCCTATTTGTATTTCATACCAGTAACTAACCTAATACTCCAAGTTACTAGACATGTCCATTAGATTTTTGGTTTTCCATTTGTAATGTAAGTGTCCCAATTTATATGATTTTGAGATTTAGCAGATTACACATCAGTGAACATGTATAACAATGCAGCTTTAAATAATATAGGAAATAATAGGAAAACTTCCAAACTCACACCGGTTTTTAAAAAAGGAACTATGATTTATGGAAGAAGCATCCCTTAGCAAAGCTGACATTAGATGCTAGTTATTGTAGTTTAGGCTGTCCTTGGTAGAACTCCAGTTGAAGTCTTGAAGATTATTTAAATGTGTACCTAATCACTCCTCTTACTTAGTCTGCTGGGCAGGGGAGGGCAGAGGACAGGGGTTGGGTTGTTGGGTTGAGAGTGATAGAAACTGATAGGTGAAACTTGGAGATAATTCCTTTTCCACCACTTTTATTTTCTGCAAAGCGCCCAAAGGAATCTGCTCCAGGGGAGTGGGCCTGGACTTGGATTCCAGAAACTCTTTCCTTGACTCTGGAGCCCAGGTTGGTGTCATCTGAAAAAAGCTCCAGCCTTGCCAGGCAGAAATCGTTTAATGACTTAATCTTGATGCAAGTAAGAGACACCAAGGCCTGTGCACTCTAGTAATAAACAGAAGCATCGGGGTGAGTCAAAGAAGAGATATGGTATCTTTTAAAACCAATATAAACGAATAAATCATAAACAGCAACTTCGAGCAGAAAAGGGAACAGACTGCCCCACAAAATGTGGGAAAGGTCTGGCGTCTAGAGAGGAAATAATCGCGTCTTTAAGACCTTGAGGTTCGAGGGGTTCTCTCCAAAGAAACTTCCATGGCTGGGAGAACAGAGAAGCTTGGAGGAGGCGAATTTTCTAAAGCCCAGGACCGTCTGGGACCCTCCCCCTTCCTATAATTTACTTAACGCTCCCTCCC